ACCTTGGGGATTGAAGAGATGCTCCTGAGGAAACAATCAGATAAGAGAGGGAAGAACCCCCAGTGGTTTAGCAGTCAGAGAAAGAAATTTAGAAAGGATCTTCTCTAATAGATTGACCAGTTAAAAGTGGAGGCAGGTAGTTTGTACTTTCAGAATTGCAAGATTCTGTTCACATAACTTTACACAATAAAGTAGAATTAATTCATTCAGTCCTGTTTCCTGTCTGGTTTATCTGGGAGGGCTGTCATCCAGACAGACCCAGTGCACAATTTGGGGGGTCCTAGTCCCACAATTCGTACTCAAAAAACCAAATGGCGGTTGTGGCCTTTGCACTGCCTTGTTATTGTGCACCAGTTGTGCTCTTTCCTGAGTCAGTTGTGCTCACAATCGCTCATGCCCCGGTCACCTCCAGATTGGACTACTATAATGCGCTGTACTTGGAGCTGCCCTTGAAGAGTATCCCGAAGCTTCCGACAATGCAGAATGCAGTGGCCCAGACAATTATGTGTGCTCCCAAGAAAGAAGATACTACCCCTTTGCTCCACAGGCTGCATTGGCTGTCAGTCTGCTTCTGGGTTTAATTTGAGGTGCTGATTTTAACCTAAAGCAGAGGTATCCAAACTTGGCAACTTTAAGACTTGTGGACTTCAACTCCCAGAATTCCCCATCCAGCATAGCTAGATAAAGTCACCAAGTTTGGGGAGTTCTGCTTTAAAGCCTTTCATGGTATGGGAGCAGGTTATCTAAAGGACCGCCGCTCCATGACTACATCAGCCTGTCCTATCAGAATGAGCAGAGAAGGCATGTTGTGGTTATCATCTGCCAAAAATCTACATTTGGTGGGTCACAGGAGGCAGGTCTTCTCTGCTATGGAGTCCTCCCTATTCTCACCTCCGAAGTGAGGTTACCTCCATCCCTGTTATTATTTCAAAAGTCCCTTGAGATCCGATTTTATTATCAGGTCTGGGGGTCCCAGGGAACCAGAGATAGTCTAAGGTAGCTTCACTGGGATCAATCGTTTTACTGTCCCAAATGTGGTTTGTATTCTTTATAAATGCTTTACATTTTTATATGAATTTTTATATTTCTATAATGATTTTTATATTGTTTTATTGACAGTTGAATGCCACCCAGAGTAGTTTCTTATGAGATGGGCAGGCATATAAATGGGATTAATAGATAAGTAACTGTGACATTAGAGAAAGAGAAAGGAAATCCTTGAAATATTTCCACAGGGAAGTCTTGGAATCTTCCCTTCTCTGTTTGGGAAAAGTCACATATTTTATTTACTAGCTTCCTTTTAAAGGTAATCAAGGGAACGTTTTTCAACTCTTACAAGAATAACTGGTTTCTCTGTTAGAATTTTAGCTTTGAAGCTGTACTTCTTTTTGCCAGAAGGAAGCCCTGTTTAACAAGGCTGTGAATAAGGGGGGTGGGGTGGGCGGCTGTGGATAATTTTGTGAGTGCAGTTGTGGTTGCACATGTTTAGGAAAGCTCTTGGTTTTATCAGAATTCTGTACAAGTTTATTGAGAAGCAAAGTACTTAGTTTTGCATTGGAATTATGGGATTGCATACCAAGTTTCTTAGTTCGTCCCAGAATTATATGCTGAAGAAGATAGTCAGGATTCTGTGATTTACAAAGAATCCAACATTACAATTGTACCTATTATGTGAGTGTGTGTGTGAGAGAAACTTTAATGCTTTTTCAAAATGTTGATTTAGAAGGAGTACTAGTGGAAAAGTTAGGCCTCTGGAATGTCAGCTTATTGTCCTAATAACTAATATCAAATCACATTTCTGTTGGGAAATCACGAAATACATATGCCTCACAATTCTTGGTTCACTCCAGTGCATAAATAGAAATATCAAGCACTTGAGCATTCTGTCTTCCAAAGAGCACATCTTTCTAGACATTAGGCATTAAGAATTGCTGAAACTAAACAGAAGCTTTCAAACTTTTCCAAAACTTTAGATCGTACATAAAAATACTCTCTGAACTAGTTGTTTTGGTGAAAATTTGCCATTATTCATTTATATTCCCTTTACTGTTCTTATAAAGTGGAAAATGAGTTGACCCGAGGCAGAATGACTGACTCAAAGTCATCCAGCCAACTGTCATGCGCAAGGTGGGACTAGAACTCATCATCTCCTGGTTTCTAAATGCTGAATGGACTTTTGATTTGTATTTCATATATGTTCAAAAAGAGGGATTTGCAATTATAGTTAAAATCTTGGAATTCCAGTCTTGAGCAGAAGAAAGGTATCCATGCAGTAGAAATCAATTTAAGTCTCTGCATGTATAAGTGTATGGAAGTGTATGGAAGTTCAAACTGCAATCTAAATTGCAATAAAAAAAATCGGTTTTGCAGAATGCCCATAGATGGCTAATTTAACCATAGTTTATTCAGCTTGCCTGACTGCTCTGTGAGCTAATAATTCACACAGGGTGAATTATCGTATCGGTTTATAATAGTCTGTCTCCTGAAAAGAACTTTCTCTCTTCCTCCACTTAGCACAACCTGGAGGGATATTGTGTATAGGAACTGCACAAGTAGTTCTGTGGTTTTTGAAGGCAGAACAGTTGGGAATGGAGAAAAACTTCATACCATACTTCTTAAGGAAGAACTATCAGAAATCAAATTCATGTGGAATTGTTCTTCCTGCCTTTTCGACCCTACCTCATCCAGATTGAACACTGCAAATATTAGCTATTTTGCAACATGCTCACAACTGTTAAACCAATGGGTGACAAAAGGAAGTTTGGGGAAGAGATTAAGCATTCTCATTCATTTATGTTGGTTTTTTTTTATAACTTCAGAAAATACATTGATTTACCCAGTGGAAAATGACTTTTTAAAAGCAGTCTAGCAATAACAGTAGGACTTCATAGTGCTTTACAGCCCTCTCTAGGTGGTTCACAATGTCAGCGTAATTGCTTCCAACAGTCTGGATCCTCATTTTACCAATCTCAGAAGGATGGAAGACTGAGTCAACCTTGAGCTGGCCAGGATCAAACTCCTAGCAGTGAGCTGAATTAGCCTGCAATACTGCATTCTAACCGCCACAGCTCTTTATCAACAGCACGGGGGGACAAAACTGCAAACTTAATTCTTAAAAATGTTTCTTTTTCCTCCTCCTTGGCACTTGTTCGTTCCTTCACAATGCTGGATACCAGGAAATAGCCATGAAAGAAAAAGTAGCACACCTTCACACATCACGAAAGCTAGTAGATGGTTCCTGTCATACTCCAGTATGTAGTAATGTAGGCTACATGGAAGGGAAAAAAGAATGAAATGCCTAGGAGGTGGAGGCGAACAAGAAGAGGTGCTGAAGTGAGTTAGAAGGCAGTGGGCAAAGAAAGAAACCACAAAAGACCAAGGCAGAAGACAGGAGAGCAGGCCACCATTTTCAGCCTACAATATTTCCTCCAGGGGGTTGTGTCAGGTGCAAGAGATGAGAAACCAGAATGGAATTTAAAAGTACTACAAGTTTATTTAATGCTACCTATACACAACAATCTGATCTAAGTCAAGATGAATTGGTGCCAAACTTCAAGGGGGACTGTGTCAAAACCTGCTGGGGTTTGCCATACCTGTGGGGAGGGTGATTGGGGAACAGCCACAGTAAGACAACCAGCAGCAAATGGCAGCGGCAGTCCCAGCCTCCTAGAACAGGTGATCGGCGGCATGCCGGGCCCCCGAGAGCTGCTTACTGGTGAAGTCTCCAGTGCCTACCAGGTGAAAGCGGAGCGTGATGTTTCCAGTCACCCGGACCAGCTGATCAGTGAGGCACTGGGATGCTAACAATCAGCTGGACAGTGGCTCAGAAAGCGGCAGCTGAGCCCTGGAAGGTGCTGGACAATTGGTTCCTGGGGAAGATCGGAGCCCTGGAAGACTCTTTGCTGTAAAAAGACTGCTAGCTGAAGAGGGCCAGTTGGCTACCAGATGGTGGCTGAATGGCTGGGGGCATATCCAGGCGGGGAGGGCATGGACCCTGCCTACAAAAGATGCTGGGGGACAGTGGCTCCCAGTGCTGACTTCCTCTCAATGGGTAGTTTTTACTAAGCTGGACCTGCAGGAGGCCTTCTACCAGCTGACCATTAGCCTTTAGGAGATTGCTTAACAGTAAGGCTACCCTGGCAAATAAGGGGATAAACTGCTGGTAAAAATGGGCAAAACCTAGGAAACCCTGCAGTTGTCTACGTGACCTTGATGCCTGCCATTCCATAACAGCCTGGACTTTGGCTAGATTCATATCCACCCTGGCTCAAGTCTCTTATGGGACGTAGACCCCAAACTAATGATTAATTTAACCCAACACCGCAGGCTCAGTCTCATCATCTAAAGGTTGCCTCCCTTTTCCTTGCCTCTACCATTTCTTCCCATTTTGCCTTCCGTCCTTTTTGGGAACCTGCAAATAATTCACCAGTTGTAAGAAAAAGTGACTAAAATGGGTCTCAGGGCAGGAGGTTCATACGTTATTTTTCTTTCCTGTACTTTTAAGATTTGCTTTTTTTTAAAAAAAATTAAGCATGTTAAAAGAATATGTTCTTTTCTCCAAAAGTGTTAAATAAAGTAGGTGTGCTTGTTTGCTTTCAAGCAAACATTTCAAGGCTTATAGATTTTTAAAAGAGAACTGTTAGTAGAATCATTTTGCAAACAAACACAACCCCTTCCTTGTATGAGTTAAAAAGATTCATGGGCCAAGATGAATAATTTAGTTCTCAGCTAAATTCATCATAGTTATGTACTTTTACAACTCAAATCTCTAGGTAGAAAGTTATATAACTGTGGGTATATGCAAGCAGTATAATTTATAAATTTATCAGGGAGCAGTAAAGTTCTCAAACACTCACCTTCGATTAAGAAAGGGAAGTAGAACTTAAATTGAACAAATGAACTAGTAGCAACATGCTTTGTGATATGTATTTATTTAAAAATTGTGAGTAACTACAGCTGTAGTGTTCACGAATATTCCCTCTCTGTTTAAGACACCAGAAAACATTAGCATATTTTTTTAATTAAGATATACAAAAATACACCCCGTTGTTTTCTTAACACATTGAAAACATGTGAAAAAAATGCCTTGTATGCACTAAATAATATTAAAATTGCCTTATAACAATGTGTGGCAAACTGGCAATGACTGTGTTTTATTATAACAAAAGTTTCTCATCCACTTAAAAAGAGGACATGCTGATAACTAAGAAACAGCGAAAGCAGTAATAAAAAAAACCCACAGCAAATGTGAGTACATATCATAAATGGAATTTTGAATATCTGCATTCCAACAGGCAGACAAGCAAATACAGAACATGTAAGACTACAGTAATAAGATCAAACGTTCTAAAGATACTTTATGTATCTACATTGAAGTATAGTCAATTTTCCTCTTCTGCCTTGAGAAGCTAATGCAAAATTTGTTTTCTGTGTTCTTTAATGAAGCCAATGTTATGCTGAAAATATTGGCATCTTGCAGAAGTAGTGGAGAAAAGCCACAGAGTTGTAATGATACACTAAGTGCAGACAGATACACTGTTAGGTATTCTGAATGACAGCTGTGAAAGGAAAGCAATATGGAAAAATCTGAATGTGTTAATCAATTTGAGGAAGGTACATATTTTTTAACCATCGGGTGTCTCTTTTGTATCAGGAAACTTTCTGTGGTACTCTTGTATTTCCAGTGGGCTCCTTGCAGGTAAAATTTTATTGCTCCAAATGTACTTCATTCATACATAATTCAATGGTGTCACAGGACACCAAAGACGCATTTTTGCTAGCTATATTGCTTGATGAAACAATTAGTATACTTATCCAGTTCCTCAATCCTGATCATACGTTTATGAAAGAAATGGTTGAGTCTAGCAGATTAGCTTCATATAGTGTGTTCACATTCATTGTCTGGGCTATGCAACTGATGCTTTAACTTAAACTAAATCCAAGCACAACAGCCAACTAAAGTGCTTGTTAATTCAAGTTAATGCCCATAAATAAAACAGGTGTCAGCCACACTGCTGATAAAATAAATCAAGAAAACTATGACCTAGTGTAATACTACATGAGCATTAAAGAGTCTTCAACTGAGTGATTTTTGTCCTCTTCTGTTGATTCATTCTTCTTCCTCCTCTTCCTCTTCCCCCAACGTTTCCACAATAAGTTCTGCTGTACAAGTTGATTCTCCCAAACAGTTAATTGCCTTGCAAGTATATTTGGCATCATCATCCCCACAAACTTCAGAAATAATCAAAGAGCAATTGCCATCTTCGTCATAGTCAATCTGGAAGTGCCGGGATTCCTTGATAGATTGCTCATCTTTGTACCAAATCACTTCCGGGTCAGGGTAACCTGAGAAATACCAGATGCCAAAATGAAGATATTTTATTTGTTAATTTTTTTAAGCAATAAGTGAATATAAAAAAGAAATAGACAATCATTTGAATTAGCCATTAAAAAGCAGGCTATGAGGGCCAGGGGATGTAGATGTGCATCTATCAACTAAGTTACCTTTAACAGTTAATAGTGTACAAAAAGAGCAGCACAAATGGAGTTTTTAGAGTAAGTCCAATTCTATGAAATTGCAGGTTATGTAAGAGAATCCTGTGGAATCTCCATAATCCAGATGTCACTCTTTAACAGCTCACTTCAAATGCTGCATAGGTCATTAGCAGGTATGGCATAAGCTCAGTAAATACAAGATAATTACCATGTGAAATGTAAAGTGGGTAGATGTATGGTTGGCTTTAGAGTGATTATATATGGTTGTACAAATTTACACCCACTTACCTGTAACACGTATACTCAAGATTTCAGCTAGAGTCCAACAGCAACTGTTTCATGATATGCCTTAGTTGTACAATTATAATTAAATAGAGACACTAATGTCAATCAATGTATATATTTGTAAGTCTGCAATTCCTGTAAGTTGCCAAGTAATTTGATAAACACACAACATTTTCTTTACATGGCAGGTACGTTAAAATAAATCAATAACTAAAAGCCAGATGTGATCATTGATAACCTGAATAAAGCTGTGTTAAAAATTCTATCTTGTAGCACACCCAGAAAATGAGAATGAGAATTAGCAAATAAGATACATCAAATTGCAAGAAGATAACAAATACCAATACACCAACCCCAAAAGGAAAATGACAGGTGGATAGCTGAAGATAAAGTCTTCTGAATTAGTGAAGAATACCTTCAATTTTACAGTCAAATCTAGCAGCACTGCCTTCCACAACTTCTATATCTTGAATTGTTTTAGAGAAATAGGGCTTCACATGAGACCTTTCTTCATCAACTGCTTCTAAAAGAGAGCTGGCTGTTTCATCTAGGAAAAACAACAACACAGTTCTGCTTTATCACAGAACAACTGTCTGATAATAATTCTTATAGCCTAATATATGTCAAAGCTTGTCTTTCAGCCACAACATAGCAGTTTTCAGAAGTCTACTTTATATTTTTTCCATGGCAATCTTTAATGACTGCTAATTTAGAATTCAAATAGGAATATTTTATTCCTTTTGGGAAAATTCATGTGATAAAGCATCATGGATATACATCCCTGCAGTTCAGACATCAATTGTGGTAAAAGGACAATGCACATTGTCCTTTTAGACAATAGACTTGGAAGGAACCAAGTGTTTATTGAAACTTGCTTCCTGCTCAAACTAGATCCTTGCTTAAGCAGAATTTAAAGTATCGCAGACAGATGATTATTCAGTTTTGTTTGAAAACACTCAGAGAAAGAGGATGTTACAATTATCTGGGTTCCATTTCAAATTACTCTATCCTAGGGGTATCAAACTGGATTTCTTTGAGGGTCAAATCAGCATTGCAATTCTCTTCTGTGGGCTGGCAGTGGGAGGGTGAGCAGGGGGGGTGGGGGCGGGAAGGATGTAGCACCCTGCCAGCCAAAACGCAGCACGAGGGTCCAAACGCAGCCCCCCTGCACCTTGTTTTCACCCTCCATGGCTTCCTGCAGCACTCTGCTGTTTTCGGGCCTGTTTTGAGCCTGTTTTATACTCATTTTGGGGCCTGTTTTTGCCCATTTTTTGCCCATTTTCAGCCCAGTTTTTGGCCTGTTTTGGGGCCCATTTTGGGCCCGGTTTTGTTAGGCAGAGTGCTGCAGGAGGTCATGAAGGGTAAAAACAAGGCACAGGGTCCCCGCATGTGGCCCGTCTTAGGCACCAGAGGCACCCTGGGCTAGTCCTTTGATATTTCCAGGCTGGCCCCACAGGCTGGATTTAAGCAACTCGCAGGCCCAATCTGGGCCGTGGGCCTTGAATTAGGCACCCCTATACTATTATGAGTAACAGCAAACAAAAATCAGAATCGAATTTCCTGAAACTTAAATTCATTATCATATCTTGCACTTTAAAGCAATGAAGGACAAATTGTAGCCTTCTATATGACACTTCTTACAATATTTTTAAAGTGCTTTCACAGTATCTTCTCAAGGCTAAACATTCCCAGTTCTTTCCATTTTTTCTCCATAGAACTTAACTTCTAGTCCCCAGTTCATCCTGGCTGCCTTTCTTTAAATTTGCTCCAATGTGTGGTATAATTTCTCAGAAATGAACAAAATACTCAAGATAGGATCTGACTAAGAGTCATAAAATAATGTTAATTTATTATTTCCTGTGATTTGCAAATTAAATGTCTGTTGACACAACCTTAAACAACTTTTTAAAGCCATATTATAGAGATAGTTTATATTCAGTATATAAGCAACTCAGTATTTTTTTCACAGGTATTACTGCCAAACTGAGGTTCCCCATTCTAGATTTGCATTTTTCTATTGTTTTATATGTGTCTCTGTCAAATTTCCTTTTCAATCTAACATATTGGCCATTTCACCCAATTCTGTGCCACCTGTATTTTTAAAAGATATTTTTCCACTTCCTCATCCAAGTCATTAAAAATTTGATTTTTTTTGGGGGGGGGGGGGAGTACAAGGCCTATAACTATTCCTTGTAACATTTAATATGCCACTATATTCTAGTTTGTTTAAAAAAAAAAGACTGTGGATGAATATTCTTTATATAATACAATTTTCAAGCATCTGTTTAAGTGTTATGCCATAATCTATACTTAAATAATGTGGTAATCTGAATGTCATGGAAAAATACCTCCAACTTCCATCTCCGCATTAACAGGGCTGGTTGGTGAACTTGAAGAGGACTTCCGTCCACTCAGGCCAGAAATCATTGCCATAGAAGACAGCCTTCCTATGGCACGAACAGCATTCCCTGTTTTCTGTAACATAACCAAGAAATGCTGATGAATTCCTTCTTACCATATGCTATTTTTGATATATTTGTAAAAGATTGAGAAAAATACAACAGTTCTATTTAGTGCATTGAAAGCAGACTCTAGAGATGGGGGTCCAATAACAGTTGACCCAGCGAATGGAGGGTAATAGGTGTCTGGTAAAGATTTCAACCATAGAACTTTTGGGCAACTTGCATTATAGCCTGGCAAGGAAACCTTTGAAGCAGCTGGATTTTTAGGAATTTCCCCTCTCACAAGAACAGAGGAAGGAATGAAAATCAAAAAGGGCAAATCAATATCAAGTACCTGCCCAAATGTAAGAAAAAGTTACCAGCCATGTTTCAAAATGGTGTAATCACTATGCCTCACATTTGCTACACCATAATAAAATGCTTTTAAAAAGTTATTAATTTGTTTAAAATAACAAATAAAAATCCCCCTGAATACATCCACAATTATCTCAGCAGAATTTTCTTATAAGCATTGTGAAGGTACAAGTTTGATCAAAGCCAACATGATCATTAATCTGTTATTATTAAATTAAATGTACTAATAGAAGAGAATATAAGTTACATGTATTTACTTTAAGGACAGGGATTGGAATAAGGCAATTTAAGATGTCCCTCCTTTATCCTGTACAGGTAGTCCTCAACTTACAACCACAATTGAGCCCAAAATTTATGTTGCTAAGTGTGGAATTAAATGAGTTTTGCCCCATGTTATGACTTTTCTTGGCACATTTGTTAAGTGAATCACTGCAGTTGTTAACCTAGTAATATAGTTGTTAAGTGAATGTGGTTCCCCCCATTGACTTTGCTTGTCAGAAGAGTGCAAAAGGTGATCACATGACCCCGGGACACTGCAACCGTCATAAATGTGAGTCAATTGCCATGCATCCGAATGTAAATCACATGATCATGGGGATGCTGCAATGAACATAAGAGTGAAAAATGGTCATAAGTCATTTTTTCAGTTCTGTTCTAACTTCAGTCAGTAAACAAACTGTCATAAGTTGAGGATTACCTGTAATAGTTTTCCTGCAAAAGATGCATTGTTTTCTTAAACAAATGGCCTTTTATTTTCATATATCTTACAAATTCATGCACTTTAGAATGTACAAAGAATTTGTTTCATATGTTCTTGACCAATTTAACCAATTTCATTGTATACATGATGTACAATGACAATAAAGGCTTTGAACTTTGATCACTATGCTTACCTGCCCCAAAGGTGCTTTTTGAAAAGGCAACTGGACTTTTTTTTATTTTTCTTGAAGACATTTTGCTTCAATTCTGAACTGAAGAAGTTTCTTGGATGAGAAGCAAAACGTCTTCAAGGAAAAACAAAGAAAGACCAGTTGGCTTTTGGAAAAATGACCTGGATGATGAGAATCTCCATAGACATCAGTTACCTGCCATTTTCTTCTAGCCATGTATTTTTTCATCCTATCTTTGGAGAGCTTCTTCGCTTCCATGTGTTTGGTATCTTTTTGCAGCCACGGATGCTGTAAGCACTGAGTACAATTCAAGCGGTCCCTATGAGTAATAGAGATAATAACTATTATACTTACATAAATAAAACTTAAGATTTTAATGAGCTCTGTATTTAATAATATGGCACGTTAGACTACTGTACATTATTCAGTTGCAATTCCCAAAGTCTCAGATGTTTTATTTCTAGCATTATATTAGGAAGACTGGAAAGCTGCTTGCTTTCTTGAGGATGCAAATCTTTTTACATTGGGATATGTCTACCCAGAACCATAAGAGCCTCCAAAATTCCTTATAAATGCTGACTTTTACCTTACACTTCCAGATGGCACAGGGCAGCTGACTGACTGCAGAGCAGAGAGCTACCTTAAATAAGCCATGGGATGAGTTCCAGTGATAATTATATGTCAATATATAAATTAATTTTAATTCATAGAGTGATAAAAGATTTATGTCTTTGGAATATTATGACAAAAAAATCTAAATTTAATTCTTAAAAACCTCTGCTGTAAAGTATTTGAATATTTCATTATTGTGTTTCATATTTCTTATTCAGATGTATTTCATTACTTTTTGATATCTTTGGAGCAATAAAAAATGGCAACTATACCATCCTTTTCTTGGAAACAGTCTACATTTGTTACTTATTAACACATTATTTATCACTAAGTTTTCTCATAACTGCTGTGCAGAAGCAACGAAATCACATATGAGAAAAATATCTATTATTAATGCTGCAAAAAATCTTACATTATTGATTACATCTTTTTTTTTATTCCTAAATCATGGGTGGGAAATGCAACATTTAGCATCTGTATGCAGGTTCCAGACTTCTTTTTGTAGGCCACACAGATTCTCTGGATTATGCTGCCAAAATTAAAGTAGCATTTTGAAGCTATTTTGTAATCTCCACAAATCAACAACATGGGGGAAAGGTGTGAGTTTCAAACATGCACACAATTATGCCTAGAGATTTGAAGTTTTTTTAAAAAAAATTAAAACCATCAATGCAAAGTGCACATAGAATATTACATTTCATAGGATCAGTGGATCGGAGGTCTTCTAGCTCAACTCCTTTAGGACAGGCATCTAAATTAAACATATTAAACTATATTTCATATGTAGTTATATTAAGAATAACGTAATTACACTACACATTGAGTTAAGCATTTTTGGGGGGGATGCATCTATCTGCATATTTCTATGATTTCCCTCAGTAAAAAAAAAGTTGTCCTAAAGAGGTACTACTCATGGCTGGACTGCCTGTGTGGAAAAATGCCAATACATTAATCATTTGAGCAAACCTGAAATACCTAAGAATTTTGTTGTAGATCCACTTGCCTTGATTTACAAACTGTATGTGGGTGTCAATGTTCAGATGAAAGGATTATGGGATTAGCAATTATTTAAAGGAGTAATCTAAAATTACTAGAACTTAATTCTTTCCTTGACCTGCTCCTTTGCAATTCCCACACAAGGCATTAGAGCCAAGCTGAATGCTAATATATATGGAAAGCAATGGACCAGAATAGGAAATGTTAAAAATATTCATATCTTAAGAGTCATTACAAATTTATAGAAGAAAGTTGGATTTATTAATTGTATTTATTTAATCAGGTTTATAGGCCATAGATTAGGATTATTAGATCAGTTCCAGAAACGCAAAGTGAACATAGGCACGAGTCTAAATTTATCATGTACATTAAATTAGTGCAGAAGTTCCACAATAAGGATACCTCTTATGCAATTATGCTTGGGTAAAACAGTGTAAGAAATTTCTCCAAGATAGTCATTATGCATTCATATTTAGAGTAGTATGTGAACATTATATGAATGTAATGTATCCTTACTTCATATCTTTCTTTAAAAGGTTGCTTATGAAGTCTTTAGCATCATCTGATATCTCATCAAAAGCTTCGTCATCAAAATCCCAGGTGGCTGAGGTAACATTAGCTAAGGTTTCATTGTCATTATCACCCATGAAAGGGGAAAGTCCACTGACCCTGAAATTAAGGATGAAAACAGTGAATGGTAACATTTACTTGAGAGTGTTGATAGCGTCTGAAGGAAAAGGAAACATTATTTTTAAAAGCATGCATGGTTTGTAAATATGTAGATTTAATGATTACATACAAGAAGGCACCACATTAGAAATAAGTTTTCAAAAGAGTCCAATAGCCTGATAATATTTACTATACTAGAAGCAGAACTGATCTCATTCTCAATAAGATCTCAATACTTTAAAACCAAGGAAAAAATAAGGTGGATTTGTTTTTGAAATGCATAGAAGTAGTAAACAAAATAAATAGTTCCATTATTTAGTCATTAGAGGGAGCCAGTAAGCTAGAGGTCTTTTAAAAAGAGAATAAGTGATTTTTGTTTTGTTTTAAAGGAAATTAGTATATTAGAGGAAGGGAGCTTCTGATCCAAAGGCAAAATAAAAATATTAATTTAGAAAATGGAATAAATGCATGCCATTACAAGCAACCCTCATCTGAACAATGTCTATGCAATACTTAAGATTGTTCCATTTGCAGAATAGTAGTTGTGCTACTCTTAAAGAATATGCAATGCAAATTTAGTTCATCAAATTATTGGTGAAAGTGTGCACGCTTTAAAATTACCATATTTTTCAGAGTATAAGACACCCTCCCCCCCCAAAGTGGGTGGAAATGTCTGTGTTTCTTATACAGTGAATATAGGCCCATTTTTGATCTCCCAAAGCCTCTGTGCTTCCCATTTTTGCCCTCCCTGCAGGCCAAAAATGTGGCCATTTTTTGCCTCTGGAGACCTCCGTGCATCCCGTTTTTGTCCTCCCTGGTGTCCAGGGCAAAAACGGGCATGTTTTTGGCCTGCAGAGGGCCTCTGGAACCTGGAGAGGGCAAAAACAGGACGCACAGAGGCAATTTTTTTTTTCTTATTTTCCTCCTCTAAACCAAGGTGCATCTTATAGTCTAAAAAATACAGTAGATGTGAACATTTTACTGCATGGTTTGACACCCCCCCCCCTCAATTTGAGTTCTACAATATAGTTAACACAAATGCTATTAAACAAAAAGTACTGTGGATTTCACTATTTTATTGGGTAACCTGCTTCAGGAAATCTATTGAAACTGTAGATGAATTACATAGTAACAAACTGTCTCTCCAACATCAGAAGCACAACTGATCATTGCAGAAGGTATTTTCTGTGACCATCTTCAAGTGTAAAAGTTCCCATGCTCTCTCTCCTTCATTGATTTCTCTTAACACTGAGCAGACTTTTGGATCTCTAAGTTGCTATGTTCATTTTAACTGAGATCACTGCTATATTAGCTTATTAATGCATTTTACCTAAGCCAATTTGAGTCATTTCAAGACAGAAAAGCTGGAAAACATGATATAATAACTGCTAAACTTCATTTCAGAATATAAGTCAAAGAAGGTCCCATCAGTTCACTGTGGATCTCCAAGACCATAGAATAAGATACAAAGAATGAACTTTTCAATTAATTGCCTTGAAAATAATGGTAAGAAAAACAGTATTCCTTAACTAGTTTGGGAAGGAATAGAGTGTCCAGGAATGGAATTTGCTGGCATGCTTCATAGAGTGTCTTCATTTTTTCCAAAGATCTCTGTAACCTTGATCTGTGATCTCTATTATATTCAATAGTGAAACAGTATCTAATAGCAAAACAGAGCAGTATTTGTTTATGGAAACTATTTCCTTTCTGCAGTGTCATTGTCAAAATGAAAATGAACAGCAACCTTCAAGGAAAAAATAATTTTGAGATGAAGGTATGCAGCTACTTAGAGCTAATATTGAGCTGCTTATTGGAAAGGTTTCTTCAGCTACTTAGAACCAGCATCTTCTTCATGTATGGTATGCATAAACCCAGGCATACCTTAAATGTCTCTGACAATTCTACTTTAACCGGGCAATTAAAAAATGATGTGTGCACCTTTCAATAATGCTAGAATGAAATCAAGGTATCCTTCCTATTAACCCTTATTCTAATTTATACTATCTGAGACTGACTACTCAGCTCCTCCAAGATGGCTTACGGAGAAACTCAAGACCTAAGCAATGGACATATTCCTGGGCTTTCAGCTTGGTACTCTACAGAGTTCACAACAGTTGGATGAGAAGGGTCTCAGGAAGTGTGGATACTTTTTCCCTTAGGACACTCTACTCTCATGTCAAAAGATCATTGTGCAAAATGTGCAAATCTATAAAAACTCTTGATATGTGTAAGTTTGTATTAGCTCAGTGCAAATTGAAACTTTACACTATTCTTATTTACCTCAAAATAGTGCTGCTTGGGGGAAATCAGCCTATTTTTGCCCCAAAGTAAAGTATTTATAATCCTTTACCCTTATCTCTTCCTTTATGTTTTAGGAAATGATTTGTCTTTCCTTCCATAAACTTGCACAACATAAAGGAGTATGTATATGTAACTACACTGTTTGAACTTTGGATTTTTCCCAACTGAAATAGAGTAATGCAGTTTTACATCTTTGACTTCCCTTACCTATTTGTTGACCAATAACATTTGCTTCATTATGTTTTATCCTTGTGCTCATAAGCTTTTTTAAGTGTAAGCTTCCCTAAAAGGTAAGCTATTGTTCATATAATGGCTCATTACATGCTAAAGGAACATTTAGATGTGATTTTTCTGCTAGAAAACCCAGAATTGCTTTCCAATGTAGGGTTCTATGGAAACTGTAATCTAAAAATGCTGCTGTGATTTAACAACAAAATATAAATTTCATGCCCCCATGTTCTCATACATTCAGCTTAAGAAACTGTTTTGCAGATAATGATGTAACAAAAGGAAAACTCTAAAGGAAGGATTAAATATTTAAACATGAAACTGAATCAGGAAAGAGACATTCTCACATACATGAGAATGAATAGAATAATTTTGTGTAGGGTTAATTATTTCTATTGTCTATTGTATCATTTCTCAGCAGTCTCACAGTGGTTAAATGACAACTGAACTTTTGTATCCATGAAGTCAACAGGATTCAGATTTAGTTTAAAGGTAGTTTTAGGCAATTGTAAAATTCAATTAAGACTAACTGGAATAATTTACATATTAGGACTAGGATAACAACACATATCCTTCCCTAAGTCTTAAAAGGACATTAACATATTTACAAAACTGTGATCTAATTAAATTCTTATATTCTGGGAAGTTTTGCATTTAAAGAGCATGAATGTACATTTAAGGGGAAATAATTTCAAATAGAACAGTTCTACTGTATATGGATATGTTTAGATTGGTATGTTTTTAGAAAGTGACAATCTAGAATGCAAGCAAAAAGAATGAGATATTTTAAATGTCTGACTCAATTAATTACTTACAAGATGTAGCAGATGACTCCTATGCTCCACATGTCAGTAGCATAGCCAATAGGTTCATAATTAATAACTTCTGGAGCCACAAATTCTGGTGTTCCAAAGAGGACCTTCAGAGAACCTGCATTTTCTAAGATTACAGAGAAAGTTAAAATGCTGTGTGTTCAATATAGTGTCTCTGAAATTGCTCTCTGAAGTTAAGCAAATTCTCTCCAAATTTCAGAGTTAACATAGAAAAATAATTTTAAGGCAATCTAGGTAGAATACAAAGGCAATTAGGAATGTGAACCTTGGGTGATTATCCAAATTTACATTAGTACGTACATTCCTCTACTGCTGAACAGTTTTATATGAAGACTGGAAAGTCAAGAAAATATTCCTTCCCTCTTTCCCTGCCTGCTCTCTCCTTCTCTATACAAAATGCTTCTAATCCATTATATGTACTATTCCTGCACAGTGTGAGTATGAATGTGTAAATATATCTACCCACTCACCAATATACTATAATGAATGTGTACGTATTACAGATAAAGAAGCTACAGTTCTTCAGATGTTGTACAAGTCCCACTGGTAAGGGCCTTGTCAGCTGGATAATGTAAATGGAAATAGAAATTTAAAAAAAAATATTGGAAATGCCTCCATCATTCAGTAACAATCCACAATTAGTCACAAGATTCTTATTTCAAAAATAATACTGAATTTCTAAATATGTTAAGTACAACCTCTTACTTGGAGTAGGACAAAACTAGTCAGCATTCAATGAAGATTCAATGTGAGTGAGAGACCATCTACCAGAGAATTTGGGAGATAATAAGTATGGTGGGACAGTTTCTATAGGAAACAGCATAGAACTGCATTTATTGAGATTCTAATCTATCCCCAATTAATTTCACACATATTAATCCTTCAGTACAGTATGTTCCATCTTATTTCTTTATTAATTTGTTATTTTATTAAAACATATGCCTTTCTAAAAGCCTGTTTCATATTTTTGTTGAAATGCAAGTTGGCACAAGGTTTTGAGTTGAGCACTCAAAAGTTCAAAAAGATGAAATTAATAAGTAATTATCCTATAATCAAAAAGTAGTTTAGGGTCTATTAATAAAATCAGTTCTGACTGGGATCATAAATTCTGCTTCCCTGATTCTCCTTAAAATTATGATGATTTGCCACAGATATTTATTTCAGTTTATGAAATCTATACACCTAGCATTATTGTTTGGAGATCAGTCAAAGCCTATCCAATGACTTTTCTCAAGTTCTTAAATTTATGGATGTAATCATCTTCTGAATGATGACAGAAGGAACTGCATTCATCTGAAGGGTCCACTGTAATGGATCTCTGGCAAGCTATAATGCTAATTAAACCATACAGAAAATGGGACAAGCCAATTTTGAATTAAATAGTAGTTCCAAGTACCAAGTGGTTGCAATTACTATACATAATAAAAATACACTGTATCTGACAATTTTTAAGATGACTTAGAGACTTTACCTAATCTTCGTGCAAGTCCAAAATCAATCAGCTTGATTCTTGTACCAGTTTTGTTGACACACATAATATTTTCAGGTTTCAAGTCCAAATGAACAATGCCTTGTTTATGAATGAATTGTACACCTTCTGAGATCTGTTTCATGTATTTAATGCATTCCCTCTCTGTCAGTTCAAAGTCCTCATCAATGATTCTTTCGAAGAGCTCTCCTCCAGAAACACTAAAGCAATATAACAAAGAGCAAACAGTGACTGCATGGAAAACACATCCACATGAAGGAAAGTCAGATCACCTAACTCTGATTATTCTGAAGGACTAAGGTGGGATGGGCAATAGGAAAAATGTAATGTATCCATGCACAAACATTCCTTTGTCCCAACACTTAAACCTTTGAACATCTCAACATCTGTCAATGCAAGACAAAGTGACACTTTCTATTTTGAAGAATAATAGAGTTGGAAGTGAATTTGGAGGTCTTCTAGTACAACCCCCTCCTCAGGCAGGAAACCCCCGGCCTATACCATTTCAGACAAACGCTGTCTAATCTCTTCTTTAAAACCTCCAGCATTAGAGCACTAACAACTTCAGAGGCAAGTTGTTCCATTGATGAATTATGCTAACTGCCAGAAAATTTCTCCTTAGTTCTAGGTTGGTTCTCTCTTGATTAGTTTCCATCCACTGCTTCTTGTCCTGCCTACAGGTGCTTTGGAGAATAAGTTGACCTTTTCTTCTTTCTGGTAGCCCCTTAGATATTGGAACACATTGCAATAGTGAACGAGTACTGTGGTCTCTTCAGGAATTCATACCTTTAATGTTTAGATTTCATTTTGTTCATATGATCCAATATGATATTAAATACATTTTTAAAAAGAACATGTTTGGGTAAAACTTTTAGAGAAAAATATACCAACAAACAAAGACACTAAAAATGAATTAAAACAGTAGAGCAAATTATATACTTTGGGACTATTATTGTATGTAACCACCTTACGAAAAGGACCATGATTAAATGGATTAGACGTAAGTACAAATGGTAAAAATCTGCTTTGTTAAATGGAAATGCTTTATTGAAAACCTACTCACATACACTCTGAATTTCACTGATTTGATGTTTATATATATATACATACATACACACACACATATATACACACACATATACACACACATATAAACTATTGAGACAGGAAAAACATTTTCCCCACATATGGTGTTGAATTTAAAACAAAACGACAGCAGTGAAAACTTGGATCTGCAAATCACTTTTGCAAAAAGGAAGAGTTAACAAATCTAGTTAAGTACTATTTACACTAATTTATTTAATATTTATCACTCCTCTCTGTTTATAAAATATTAAAAGAACCTGACAGCAATTGAACAAGAAATTTGATAGTTAGCGATGTAAGACTTTGTATTAGTTATGCTTTAGGTAACAGAAGCAAAGACGTTTTGAAGTCCTACTCTGAACTGCTTTATTTATTTATTTTTGTCAATTGCTTACGAGATAATAGGTATAAATAAAAACATAGTTATGAATACATGGATACATATAAGAAAAATTAAAAAAGTAAAAGAAACAACAGGGCAGGGACAGTAAGCACGTTGGTGCGCTTATGCACGCCGCCTACAGACCTCTTAGGAAAGGGGTGGCATTTGTGCTCCTGCCTGAACCCAACCCAGAATTTAGTTGCATAAAGTGGTGCCTGAAGGAAAACTATGAAGGTTGGAGTAATAAGTGGACAATTTCAGATCGTAAGAAAAGACGAAGACTCATTTGGCCAAACAAAGGGTGTGCTACAATGGATGGTAGAGAAAGCAATTCTACTTAAGACAGTCAAACAGAGCAAATTATGTGGATGAAAAGGCTAACAGGTAAGGGATATATAAGATATTTAGTATTGCAAGAATTTAGAAACTGCTTTCAGACCCCCACAATAGAAATAGGTTCTGAGTTTGCAAAAATGGGAAAAAAAATCATACTGCTAAACAGGAGATAGGAAGGTGGAACCCAGAAGATGCAGCTTTGTAAAAAGGTGAAGAAACAAGGTAATTGGTGACTGATTCTCCAAGAAAACAAATTTATATCGATTGGAACCATTAAGTATCTGATCATGGATATGACAGATAAATCTCAAAAAGTACTGATAGTTATCCCTTTCTGATAGTCCAAATGGACACTAGTGATGTTGCCAAGAATAGTTATAATTATAACATCATGGACTATGAAGATTTGAAGAGGTTCAGAATAATAGTACTCAACTGATATTCTCATCCATCTTCTCTACCCAGATAACAGAGCCTTAAACAACCAATCAAGAGATAAACAGAAGATTTTTGGTTTTTTGGAACACAGACTGAATTTTTAGTGATGGTTACAGGCGTGAAATCGTTGGAACCTGACCGGACAAATATTATTTGATTAAAGTATGCCAGGTTTAATTAGAGAGACTTGAAACTGAATCCAGGAGGCTGAAGATTAAAATGCTGAAGAAGAATTATCAGGTACAGAACTGTACAATAAAGAAGGATGTTAGGGGGTTGCTTTAATGGGATCCATTAAATCCTTAAATTAAAAAACAAACAGAAGAAATATTGGCTCATAAAAATCATGCTATTTATTTCCCATGTTCGTGAGTCACTAAATCAGTGAGGCAAATAAGACCTAATATTAATAATAGATCTAGTGGAATGATTCCTGCAATTACAATACACCCACTCTTTTAATTTGTGTGAGACTGTAATAATCAATGATCTTTGCAGCATCTCTCTCTCTCTCTCATTCACTCTCTCAGTCATGTGTTCACTTAATGACTATTTTGCTCAATGATGGTTGTTAAAACATAGCTCGGTCACTAAATAAGAAGTGGATGCAAAGGAACTGAAAGATACTATTCATTCAAAAGGACTGCAAAAACATCTTTTCAGGTTTCTGAACTCTTAAGATACTGTGTCATTATCACTTAGACCATAACGCTTTAAAAGTCAAAATAAAACTGGGGGATTTTCAGGCTTGATACAGCTGGAATGTGCATGGAATTATTAGCATTCTTCAGTGTTCTGATTTCTAAAGCCAGAACATAATTCTCACAATTAAAGGTGGGGGGAAATGCATTAAAAGCTTGCTAGATTCATATAATCTCAGATGAACTCGAATTATGATGGGATAAATCAAGCTTGAAACGCTATTTTAAGAGCTTTCATTTGCAGGGCTGTTCTTTCTGCTTCTGGGAAATACTAGATTGAACTAAAAGATAAAACAGGAACATACAATTGAATTCAATTCATCCTCCACAGAAGTTGCCTCATTTTGTTCAGTGAGTTCATTCCCCCATAAGCCTGCAAACTATCGAAGTGCTCATGTTGTAAAAACACCTTGGATTGGAACAATCACCGTTTATCAGTATATTTAAAGGGAAGGGAAATAATATTTAATTGTTTAAAAACAGTGGACTATTGTGTTTTGTAGAGCTGAATTAAGTATTCTAAATTGCAAGATGTTACTTAAAGCAGTTACTGCAGTCAAAGCTGAGAAGACAGAGAGTGGCTGTACTGACTGTACTGTTCCAATGTAATACAGCAGCTTACTATTAGTCTGCTTTGGGACCTAGGAAGAACTTAAGGGGAAATATATCATTAAAAATACTAAACAAGTTCAGGATTGTTAGGTAAGAAAATAAAGATTATAAAAACTTTGACACTGCTATTAGTCCTACTACGGTCAACTTTTTACTTACATTTCCAATACCATGACAATGTTAGCTTTCTCTTCAAAAGCATCTACCAACTGGACAAGTTTTGGATGGTGCAGACAGTTCATTATGCTGATTTCTTGCCTTATGTTTTCTTTATCCTTAGCTGAATACGCTTTAAAAAATTTTCCTGCCCAAACTTTTCCACTTTTTTTCTCAACAAGCCGGAAAACTTGTCCAAATTTACCTCTGAAAAATATAGAAAAAAAATCCCAATGAAATGAAAATATGTAACACAGGAAAACATGCTTTCTGGATGCCCCAGATTCTAGGGTTTAAGATGATTAATATGGTTCTTATGCTCAGTTGACAGGTATTAGCCAGAATCAGCATGCTTGGATTCACAGGCACAGACATGAAAAGGCAAGGGTTATTGGAATGTGGAAACTGCCCTACAACAGCTCTGATTTTTTTGTACTTGCCTATATAGCACACTTTTTTTTACAATAACTAGCAACCGCTCTCCATGCCCTTGCAATACTTAATATCAGATATTTTAAAATTAGCACACCAAGTACTGAACTTGGAGTCCTTAATGTGCAAAGCACAGACTTTTCTGTTAAGCAACACAATAATTAATCTAGTAATAAAAGGATTAAAATGTAATTTGAATATGTAGGAAATTTCCCGATTACAAAAGATGTGGAAAAACAAAAAAAGTCCTTTGATCATTGAATATTCTGAGTAAACTAGAGGAGAGGAATGCTAAACAATTTATTTGTGAATTCTCTACCATGATCTTGAAATCTAGCAGATTTGTCCTTCTACAGAGAATTGACTTTTCAGAAAGAATGGAGTTGCAAATCTGATAAAATGGATTAGATTTCAACAATAGGATACATGTCAGAATATAGATGGGTGCCAACCAAGGAGATCCATTTGGACCCACTAAATCTTTCCTTTCTCTATGAATGATGAACAGTTTTTCACAATAGCTGTTTATACATTCTCTTTAATTTAAGGGAAGAGAGATTGTAACTTTATTATGGCAATAGAACTACTTATCTTAGGGTAGTATTTAAAAGTTTGCAGAGTACTTGGAGAGTTCTTGAGACAAAGAATAAGAGCCAATGTCAGGGACCTGTTTCATCTTGTCATGTTTGTCAGTGGGCTGAGTCTGTTCCCGGAAAGTCAACCAACTTGTTCCAGTCTGCGCCTTCTGACATCAGAAATACATTACTGATCTTCCCTCTGTACAAGGCTACACAAGAATTACAGTAGTGGTGGATTTATTTACAAAGATGGCTTATTTTATTCCTTGCAAGGGCCATTTATTGGATGTGGAAACAGCACTTTTAGATCATGTTTTTAGATACAGACCATGCTTTTAGGTGCAGGAATTAATTAATTGTGTGATCTCAGATTGCGGGTCTCAATTTATTTGGAAGTTTCTTCCACCTGTTGCTGTAGACATTTAAGAATCATTTGTCATCTTCAAACCGTCCAGTCTCTAATGAGTTGATAATGAGCCAAATATTAGAAAAACACTTGAGGTTTTTTATCAACAGGACAATTGGATTGAATTGTTACCTCAATTGATTGTAACAATTGAGTGCATTTCTCCATATGTATATGTGTCTTTCAGGAAACCTACATCTAAGTAGCTAACCCAGTATACACTGTACAGCAGGAGAAACTTTCCAGTGCCATTTGATGTTGTACAGCAAGATTTGTCTTTTGGGTAGGTGAAAAGTTTGGGTAGGTGTTACGGTTTATGTAATAAGTGCCAATCACACTGTCATTAGTGTGAACCAGTGAATATATTCTCTGTTTCTCCAAAAGCTGAACTGTCACTGGCAGTTGCCAAAATGATCTCTTCTATATTTAGCTTCAGATCAATTCCATAAAGTTAAACCAATTGATTGGTAAATGAGGAAGACAGAATGTTTTTTTTTTAATTCTTGTTGATATCTGGGAAATCTATGCCTTCCTACATCACAAACTGTAGCTTAATTTTTTAAAAATAGTATCAATAAAAAATAACCCATACCGATATCTTTCACATCATAATGAAAAATTGTCCATTTGGCAATATAGGAAACAAACCTTATGGCAGCAAGGTTGTAGAATCTATCTGATTAAAAAGCTAATTACTGAAACAGACCAAAAGGTCCAATTTTATTGTTCCCAATTAACTGTAAAATCATTATCATTTGATGACTGCAAATATTAAGATGACACACTCATTTGGTAGAAAATTATTTGAGTATGAATAAGAAATAAGATATACCTTAGAGACTCACTTAACATGCATTTAAAATAGAATAGCACTGACAATAGATTTTTAATGAGTCAATGTACTAAAACGGGAAAACACATTGTTATACTTACGATCCCAATCTTTCTTCAACATGGTAGAATTCTGAAACTTTTTGTTCTGTATTGATAGATACTGTCCGATAATCAATTTCTGTTTCTTTCTCTTCTACAATTTAGTACAAAAATATTTAATTACAAAAAATTCCCTTATATACTATAAATCCCATATTTTGCATTAGTCAAGGTCTTACCATCATCAGATCCTTCAGCTTCTTCTTCTTCTTCTTTAGGGCCTAAAAAAACAGACATATATGTATATATATGCCACTTAAGAGTCATAATCCACCTTGTCTACTTCCCTGTTTTATTTCAAATGCCTTGTGACTCCTTTCTGGAATAAGGCACTTATGCACACTGAACTTGTTCTGAAGTTTGGAGGTATACAATATTGTTGAACTGCTTTTCTATGTATTGTGATCTGTCCAATGACCAATCCATGAACATTTTCATGGTTGACAATATGCTGGAAATACTGAAAGGAAAAATTCTAACTCCTGATCATTTAATGGGAACACCTAACTCCTGGCTATTGTTGGCAATATAATTTGAGTTCTTCATCAGATTTGTAAGCTTGATCTTTTTTCTCCCAATATATGCTTTGCAAATAGGTTCCCAAACTGAATTTTCCTTCTCCCTCATCTTACAAATTTATGTTGTTTTACCAAAATAAAAAATATATATTAATGCAAGATATATTCTTTTCCTTATATTATTCCTCCACTCCAAGCAGAGACATTGTATAGCAGCTTTACTAACAACATATTATTTGTTTACTTTTTTTTAGAAGAAAGCTTTTGGGTTAACTTTCTATAAGCACTTTTGCACATGGTATTTGTTTTTAAAAAATTAGCTTCGTTATTGCAACTCTCATCCTATTTATATCTCTTAAGATACCATTTATGGGAAAGAGCTACAGTACAGTAATAGAATAGTGTGATTTGTATGCAGGTTAGCAGTCACCAGTTATGAGGATCAGATGGCTATTCATGAGAAAGCTTCTGTTTGGGACAGTCAGAGCAGACAGTAATTATCTGATCTCGCTTAAGACAGTATCTTGTGAAACTACAGACCAAAAATAAGCTTTCCAAATTCTTTTATGAGGTTTATAAATTAATATTTGGTATTTATTTTAATAAATGTTATAAATATAAAATTGTCACTATCATGTAGAGGACACCTGAAGACCTTCCACTGCTCCAAAACTTCTTTTATTGCCAGGCATGATCAATCTTCATGCCATTTGCACATATCTGGCAGTAAACCTGGAGTCTTAGCCTCACTTTTGAATGCAGGAACTAGTAAATGCTACACCATCAGTATCTTCTGAATGTTCCAATGTTAATGTAATACATTCTAAATAAAACTTGTATCTTGTATCTGAATGTTTATTTTATTTCATTATTACAGATTGTTGTGCTGAAGCAGAGCTATAATGCATGGCCTCCAAAGAAGGCTGGATTCAGATTAAACACATGCCTCAGGCTTGCATACAAAGTATAATCACATTTATTATATTTCCTTTTATAACTTAAAAAGTTCACAATGTTTTTTTCCACTGACAGGGTTGTGGGGAGGTTGCAGCACAGAAGAATCTTTCCTCTATATGGACCGTTCTTTAAAACAGTTGTTTTCCAGTTTTCCATTGCTTTCTTTCTTGAAATGACAGTATCAATCATAAATGCATTTGAGTATGATTGAAATTTCCTGGAAAAGATGAAACCTGCACAAAAAATTTCTTCTGTGAAAAGTATTTTATGGCAAAGGACTGACGTTTTCAACGTGCAATTGATGAGGAACTTCATAATGAAATGAGAGATCAGAAGTTTTTTCTTCATGTTTTCAATGATCCTTCCTCTTCATGATTGATTTTGTTTTGCTGCACATTTACAATGTAATCTTACATAGGTAAAGCATTAAAGGAGCTACTTTAATCCTATGAACCAATCAAATGATGCCAAGGTTATCTAAAAGCTAGATACCTGCTGTGGAATATAAGCTTTGGAAATATTTCTTGTTCTATTCACCTTAAGCAGTAAAATCCTGTTGGGCTTAAGAAGTTGTGTTGTTTGTCATTAATTTTAATGAAATTTTCACCTTTTAGTAGAATAGAATAGAACAGAGTTGAAAGGGACCTTGGAGGTCTTCTAGTCCAACCCCCTGCTTAGGCAGGAAACCCTACACCACTTCAGATAAATGGTTATCCAACATCTTTTTAAAAACTTCCAGAGTTGGAGCATTCACAACTTCTGGAGGCAAGTTGTTCTAACTGTCAGGAAATTTCTCCTGAGTTCTAAGTTGCTTCTCTCCTTCATTAGTTTCTACCCATTGCTTCTTGTCCTGCCCTCAGGTGCTTTGGATAATAGTTTGACTCCCTCTTCTTTGTGGCAGCGCTTGAGATATCGGAACACTGCTATCGTGTCACCACCCCTAGTCCTTCTTTTCATTAGACTAGACATACACAGTTCCTGCAACTGTTCTTTATATGTTTCAGTCTTTAGTCCCCTAATCATCTTTGTTGCTCTTCTCTGCACTCTTTCTAGAGTCTCAACATCTTTTTTACATCGTAGTGACCAAAACTGAATGGAGTATTACCACTGGCCTTACCAAAGCATTATAAAGTGGTATTAACACTTCACGATTCTATCCCTCTGTTTGTTTATGCAGCCTAGAACTGTGTTGGCTTTTTTGACAGCTGCTGCACACTGCTGGCTCATATTTAAATGGTTGTCCACTAGGATTCCAAGATCCCCCTCACAGCTACTACTATTAAGCAAGGTACCACATATACTGTACCTGTGCATTTGATTTTTCTTCCCTAAATATAGAACCTTACTTTTTTCTCCATTGAATTTCATTTTGTTAGATAGTACCCAATGTTCAAGTCTGTCAAGATCCTTCTGTATCTTAAGCCTATCTTCCGGAGTGTTGGCTATTCCTGCTAGCTTGGTATCGTCTGCAAATTTGATGAGTTCCCCATCTATCCCTTTGTCCGAGTCATTGATGAAGATGTTGAAGAGTACTGGGCCTAAAACAAAGCCTTGGGGTACTCCACTGCATACTTCCTTCCATGTAGATGCAGTTCCATTGAGGACTATGCATTGAGGCAGTTGGTCAGCCAGTAACAAATCCATCTGGTGGTGATGCTGTCTAACCCATATTTTTCTACTTTATTTTGTAGTAGGCTATGGTCTACTTTATCAAATAACTTACCAAAATCCAAGTAAATTATATCGCAGCATTCCTCTGGTCCACTAATTTTGTCACTTTGTCAAAGAATGCAATAAGATTAGTCTGTCATGATCTGTTTTTAACAAACCCATGTTGGCTTTTGGTTATTACTTTGGATTGGATTGGATACTTTGGATTACTATTATTGGATTGTACATGGGGCTTTTTGCTCCAGTGTGTGATGGTTTTATTCCATCATATATTGACCAGGTAAGCAGGAGTATTATTTATAATAAACATAAAAGCAAAAACATTTTGTGATTATCTTTTTCCTCTGTCCTGTGCTAGATTGTTTTCTAAATAAACAGTCTTTTGAAAACAATCTACTTTCAAGTTTTGGAGAGTCAGACTTCATATACAGAATTATATTTTCAACTAAACTGCAATACCTTGTTCTCAAAAACAGCTATTATCTGTCAATTCTTTGTTGATGTACATATAAGGAAATGGCACAGTCTGTACCACATCCTGGTCATGATAATCTAAAAATACTGTACTGTAATTCATAAGCCTCCCTCCATCCCAAGATCACAAAGCAGTCCTTTTTGAAAGATGTACATACCCCTTTCCATTAATAACTTAAAATATTTTATGCTTATTGTGTCAGTTACCATATAAAAGACCTGCAAAGTAATTCAGAACAGCATTTTAGAGATGGGAATTCAAGTTGTAAGGAAGAGTGGTTTATTGTTATAAGATGCCTTATGGGCAACTGCTCCATAAAACTCAGATTTGTCTTTGCCAAATATTAAAGGGAAAACAATATAACCTACTATTTAAGTATAGTTTACTAACGCCAAGCTATCTAATAACTCATAGCCAGACTAATGTTTAAATAATGAATTACGAGGAAGAAAGTGATGAACTGAATTTTTGCACTCTAACAGCAAAACTCTTTTACTTTGCTGAATTTAAAGTAGAAAGATAGCAACAAAGATTCAACTATAATTCATAAGACTAAAGCAAATATATCTTTCCTAAGACAATAACACTCATTTCCAAATACCAGTATTCATTATCAAACCAAAAAGTTTGGATCTTGTAACTAACTGGATC